ATGATCATGGCTATGATCATGGTGATGGTGATGATCATGGTGATGGTGATGATCATGGCTATGATCATGGTGATGGTGATGACCATGGCTATGATCATGGCGATGATCATGGTGATGGTGATGATCATGGCGATGATCATGGTGATGGTGATGATCATGGCTATGATCATGGTGATGGTGATGATCATGGTGATGGTGATGATCATGGCGATGATCATGGTGATGGTGATGATCATGGTGATGGTTATGGTTATCACCATCACCATGATCATCGCCATGATCATCACCATCACCATGATCATAGCCATGGTCATCACCATCACCATGATCATAACCATCACCATGATCATCGCCATCACCATGATCATAGCCATCACCATGATCATAGCCATCACCATGATCATCACCATCACTATGATCATAGCCATGGTCATAACATCACTATGTTCATAACCATCACCATGGTCATAACCATCACCATGATCATCACCATCACCATGATCATAACCATCACCATGATCATCACCATGATCATAGCCATGATCATCACCATCACCATGGTCATAACCATGGTCATAACAATCACCATGGTCATAACCATCACCATGATCATCACCATCACCATGGTCATAGCCATGGTCATAACCATCACCATGGTCATAACCATCACCATGATCATAGCCATGATCATAACCATCACCATCACCTGGACCTTCACACATTTAGTCCTGGTCCAGCAGACAATCAGAGACTCTAATAAAGTTGTAATGTTCGTATCTCTCCAGCAGAGGGCGCTTAAAGCTCAGTCTCAAAAGATAATCATCACTGTTTCATTTCTACTTTTATATTTCTGCACTTGCTAAACAATCAACATGTAAATTAAGCTGAATTATTGTATGCTAACAGTTTCCCCCTGCTTCCAGACTTTGTGCTAAGCTAGGCTAAACACACCCCAGACTGTCTGTGAACGGGACGGTCAGGCTGATGATTCATCTGATGATTGATAAATCTGCCGGTTATTTGATTTGATTTATTGTTTGGTGAAGGGGACATCTTGTTTTGTTTTGTCACAAAGATTCAGATTAATATCTGAGAGGACGACAGGAAATGATCTCTTCTGACAAACTGTAAACACTCAACAGATGAACGATTATTAGTTGTTGCAGATTCAATCAATCATTCACTGAGAACCGAATTCATCAAAGTGTTACAGTAAAAGTACCAATACCACAGTATACAAGTACACATAATACAGTAAATGTACTATGTTACAGTAAATGTGTTAATATCACAGTGTAAAAATGTTTTTATGGCATTTTAATAAAATAAAAAAACGGCTGCAGAAATGTGTGCCTGAGTAGAAACCGCCCAGTAAAAGTAGTAAATATAAGAACGTGTGTAGATGTTTACATGCTGTGTTGATGATGATGACATTAACACCAGACTCCACTCATTACCTGCAGCCGGCCTCCGTCAGACTGTGGTATCCCGGCTGGCAGCGGTCACACTTCTCTCCGGTCACTCCGGGTTTACACGCACACACTCCTCTGTTGTCACACTGAGGAGACTCTGAGCCTGGAAACACACACACACACACACACACACACACACACACACACACACACA